TCCGCATGGACGAGCTGGGAGCTTGCACCGTGCACAGGATCCTAGAATACACCAGAACTACGGACAGCTCACTGCCGTCCTGGCTACAAAACATCCTGTGCCTGAAACGTCGCCTGCAGACCGCCGACCCATCTCTCTGTGGGCTCGGCAGGCAGGTGTTGTCCGCTGTTCCCCTTTCGTCCCTCGCAGATGCAGTGGCACCCGGGATGGAGGGCGGACCCTGCCTGCCTCCCTGTGCTTCCGGTGTGTTCCCCGGTCCCCTGCCCCCCAGGCGCACTGGAGCCCCAGCACGGTTCTGTGAGGGAACAGGCAGAGTGCCTGCATTTGGGGAGGGTGCACTTTGTCACAGAGAGGCCACTGGTGCTGGCAGTCACCGAGCCACGGAGATGGGGCCCAGCCAGGCACCCTCCTGCCATGGCCAGCCGGGAACACCCACAGGGGAGGGATGTGCCTCCCCTCGTCGGGGGGTTGGGACGTCTTCGCACCCCCGGCTGCACACGACCGATGGACCAGCCACTCTATTCTTTCTTTCCAGTCCTGCCAATGCACACCAAATGGACAAACCATTGCAGGGCACTGGGCCTCCGTGCAATTTCAGATCGGCTGCCCAGAGTTCAGGTGTAGCTCTCACCCTCCCAGCAGATACGCGCACCACGGCAGCCAGCGTCCAGCTCGGACTGTGCGCATTTAGAGCTGTGGGGGCGGCGGGGGCTGCTGCTCAGGCCCCTCGCTACACGGAGGTGGAGAAGCTGACCCGCGGGGGACCGGCCCGCACAGTGGGCGGGTAACAGCAACCCCAGTGAGCAGGAAAAGCGGCCAAGGGCCAGGCAGCAGTGTGGCCACCTGGCTGCAGCGCCCACCTCACATTCCCAGATGTGGTTTCAGGGCGGGCAGGTGCTCAGGGACCCACGTCCCTGACCAAGGGTTGGCACCCCATCTGATTCCCCCCAGGCTGTCACATGGCGGACCCCGTGCTGGAGACCCCGTGAGGAAGTGGGGCGCGTGTGTCCTTCTGTGGGACGTGCGGCCGGAAAGTCCTGCAAAGAGTTCATCTGGGGCTCGGTCCCAGGGGCAGGAGAGGAGGGGGAAGGACAAGGCCACAGGAGACACTGTAGGTATCGGGACCAGGTCTCTCAGGACATCTGAGGGGCTGTGTGCCACGTGACTGAGGAGGGTCCCCCCCCCGTGACCGCAGTGCTTCTCAGCAGGCCCTCAGGGCCCCGTGGGTTCAGGGCTGCACCCGGGGAGGGCGCTGACCGAGCCTCCCCGGTGAAAGTAAAAGCCCACACGCAGGCCCTGGGGCCCTGGGTCCTCGGCATCAAGTCCGAGGACGGAGAGGCGCTTGAGGTCTGCTGTGCAAACCGGGGCAGGAACTGCGTTGTCCGGGCAGTTCCTACACGTGCAGGAGTGTGCGTCAGTTGGCAACGACAGGAGTGAGAAGGTTTATGCCCGAGCATCGCGGAGACAGGGACCGGCCACCGGCAGTCCCCTGGCCGGCTGCCGGGCGGGGCGTGTTTTCCCATTTCCCACAGTCGCCACCGACCTGCGCTGTTGTGTTGCCAAAGTCACGGTTTCTTTAAGAGCTTTCCCTCTGTTTCGGTTGTTTACTTTGCCCTTTGCCCTTTAGATTCCACACACGAGTGAGATCACATGGTACTGGTCTTTCTCTGACTGTTCACTCAACCTCAGGGTCTCTGGGCCCACCTGTGCAGTCGTCGCGAATGGTCAGATTTCCTTCTTTTTCACTACGGTAAGTGCTCCCGGTAAATGCACCGCGTCTCCTGCACCCGCCCGGCTACTGACGGGCGCCCGGGCTGCCTCTGTGCCGTAGCGACTATAGACAAAGGTGTGGTCAGCAGGGGGGTGCACGTATTCTTTCAAATTAGGGTTTGGGTTTCTTTGGGTAAACAGAAGTGGAACCACTGGGTCATCAGGTAGCTCTTTTACTTCTGTGAGGAAGACAGAACCTTCATTCTGTTTTCCATGGAAGTGCACCCGTTTTGTAAAGTACAGCCTTGGGAATACAGCCGACTGTTGTGATAGTAAATGCACGGTGCCAGGCGGGCACTGGACTCCCTGAGGGGGTCACTCCGTAAGATACACACATGTCTAACCTGCCCCGGCTGGTGGGGCTCAGTGGGCTGAGCATCAGCCTGGGAACCAAAGGGCAGCCGCTTAGATTCCCAGTCGGGGCACAGGCCTGGGGTGCGGGCCAGGTCCCCAGTAAAGGGTGTGTGAGAGGTAACCACACACTGATGTTACTCTCCCTCTCTTTCTCCCTCCCTTCCCCCCTCTAAAAATAAATAAAATCTTTATTAAAAAATAAATATCTAATCCCTATATTGTACACCTAAAGATAGGGAGTGTCATCTGTAATTAGAAATAAAAATATAATTACAAGAGAAAAAAAGAATGTTCCATGTAATTGCGGACTTCCTTGCAGAGCTTGGGTGCCTGGTTCAAACTGATTAAGAAGAAGAATAAAGCGGTTTTTTAAACTGTCGTCTGAGACCGGGCTCTGGGCTCAGCACTTGGCCAGTGAGAAGATCACGGCATCGCACCGCGAGCCACGGATCGACACCCAGCGCCACCCGCAGGCCTTTCGAGGTGTGTCTCTCGTGGGAGTGGCCAGATCGCACATTTGCATTGTCGCGTTTATTTGTGGAAAGGCATATTTGGATTCACTAATGACAGTAAACATAATAGACACACATATTTTCCTTGCGGAAAACTCACAAGTGTGCGACTGAGGAGGTAAGAAAAGAAAACATGGAGCAGTAAGAAATCTGTTCAGAATTCTGACTGCCGAGTGCTGTGTAAATTAATGAAATCAAGACAAATAGCAAGAAAACAAAAACATTAATTAAAGCTTGACTTTACCCACACTGAAGGAGGCATCTGGTGAGAGAAAATTAATGCCACTCACAGGGGCTCCCACAAAAGATATTCGCAGAAACTGGCAATGAGCCGATTCCCCAACCAAAAGCTCAGTGGATGAGAGATGCAGGTACAGGTCTCAGGTGAGAATCCCGACTTTTTCCAAACATGACTGAGGAGGATTGATGGCTTTCCTGGTTTTCAGCCCTTCCGATGCTGCATATTTACTCACTCAGCACAGTGGGTCAGGTGACAAACACACAGTGGGTCAGGTGACAAACACACAGTGAGTCAGGTGACAAACACACAGTGGGTCCCATGACAAACACGCAGTGGGTCAGGTGACAAACACACAGTGGGTCCAATGACAAACGCACAGAGGGTCAGGTGACACACAGTGGGTCATGTAACAAACACACAGTGGGTCAGGTGACAAACACACAGTGGGTCAGGTGACAAACACAGTGGATCAGGTGACAAACACAGGGCCGCAGCCGAGTGCTGAGAAATCGATACTCTGCACGATGTTTTCAGGGGTGTGCGTATCCCGGTGTCCCGAGACAGGCCAGAGCTCTGTCTCAGTGGAGGCCTGGTTTTGGGAGGGTCAAGTGCATGGGAAGCCCAGAAGAGCAGCCGCACAGAGAGCCTGGGCCTCACTCCCGGTGCCAGAAGATTCCGCTTCTGACCAGAGAGGGTGGAGAGAATTAACATCTCGAAAGAAGGCACGTGCCCCAGTGCCCACGATCCGGGACTCAACTAGGACAGGAAGTTCAGGACCAGGTGGATAGAGGAAAGAGAGCTTACATCTCAAAACACGGGAAGAATGAAAACCAAAGTGTTGCGAGTAAGCTTGCGGCTACAGACCGTGCAGGCCAGCAAGACGGCTGACACGTCGTAGGTGTGCTGATCAGACTCCAGACTCGGGTTTGCTGGCCTGCGTCTGAGTCCCGTTAGCTCTGCCTCTGCCCGGCTTGGTGACCGTGGCCGGGCCTTCGTGCCTCGGTAACGATAGTCATCATACCACTCCTACGAGTGCAACTTCCTCGTGCCCAAGAGACAATGAAGCAGCCACAGTCACTGAGGAACGGACACCATGCCGGGCCCGGGGCAAGGGCCCCTGCAGGGTGGCTGGGGCTGCCCCGACTGCCCCCGACTGCGCCGTAAGGGCGACTACTTTGCCCTGGTGCCCCATTAGTCCCCATGGCCGGAGCCCTGCTGTCGGAGGGCGGGGACCGGCCACCCTGCACAGGAGCGTCCTTCCAGTTCCTGCCACAGAGCGGGCTGCTTGCGAGGTTGGCAACACTGTTTGAGAGAACGCACGTTTTATCTAGTCAAGAGGCAAATATATTCCAGGGTTCCCTCCTGGAACTGACCTTCTGAATTACAAGCAGGTCAACTGGACACATTTCCAAAAGGTCTGCGGAGAAGCCCACCACCCCGACCTGGAGGCCGACGCCCAGCCACGCACTCCACGGAGGCTGCATCGGCCTGTGAACGACAGACGGACAAACGTCCGCTGGTAGCCTCCCCTCTTCCAGAAAACCGAAGAGGCGATAAATCGCACGTCCGAGCCTTTTCAGTCCTGCCTACTAGCTGACCGTGGGTATTTGGTAAAAACCTCCTGTCTTTTTGCTTCCTGGCTCTGGAGAGTCCACGGGCGTCTCAAAATGAAAAGGAGGGCTGGTCAGTGTCCCACGATGGGATGACACTGACAACGATACCGAAAGGGATCCAGACTGACTTCTGCCCCTCCACCCCCGCCCCCCACGCGGCAATACCCATGACTGCAGCGCCGGTTTCACCGCCCGGTACCCGTCTGAGCCCCTGAGCACCAGGATGAGTGAAACCAACAATTTGCAAACTGACAATCGTTCAGACGGCCCCAGAAGGACCGGAAAGAGTGGGGAAACGTCAGCCCCGAGCTCGCGATGCTGCACCGTGAGAGGAGTCCCCAGAGGCCAGCAGGAAAGTGCAGGGGACAGCGCCAGCCGACCCCCTCCCGCTGGTGCGCACGCTCACGGCGTCCTCACAGCCGCCGTGGGCAGGCGGCGAAGGCCCACTTGTGAATTAGTGTGAAATACAGTGGCGTTTCTAAATCAAAAAGTTTTAAAATGACACCCTACCTGCAAGGCACAACATGAATGATTGCAGGACCAGTAGTTCCCATGGCAACCTCATCTTCGGTTCCCAAGGTCAAAGGCGTTTCAAGTCCAGTGACAAGTGGATAGGATGGCTGCTGCTTTTCAGCTGTGTTCGACCTTTAATCTGTGGGGGAGAGGAGACGTTACAATGACATCCGGGGACATCGCTCCCTGTGGCTTCGGCAAATTTAAGTTTACTTGCTACAGGTAACATTCACTTGGACAAGTGCCCCCAAAGAGCAGAGAGGCACACGAGATCACAGATTTGAAACTGGTGTAAGCCCTCTGCTCTTCTTCAAATAACCTGCAGGTGCTGATGGAGAAGACGCGTCCCCCACGCAGACGAGAGCCGCTTCTGATGAGACACGAAGGCAGGGGAGTGGGCCGGTGTCACGGGGTCCTTCCCGGGCTCCCGGGCTCCAGGCCCTCTGTGCCTATTTCCTTTCCACTTAATCCGCCCCAAACAGTGACGGCAGGGGAGCTGCCAGTGAGCAAGCCGGCGTTAACCGCGGTGGCCCTGAAGGAGGACTACCCCACCGCTCAAATATTGTTTCCGTGTTCCACAGCTCATCTCTGAAACACAACAGAGCACCCCCGGCGCCCGCCACCAGGAACCCTACCGCCTGCGAGGGGCTGTCTGCTCGGGTTTGGGGGCAAATCCAGGGCCCGGCTAAGAAAAATAATTCTTCCATTAGCCAAGAATCTTACAACTCAGTGGCAGAGGCCGGTGGTTTTCACGCCACGAATGACAGAGCAGGTCAGCCGCCGAGTGAAGCGGGCGTGGTGGTGGTGCCCTGCAGAGCCCACCTGTGCAGTGGGGGCCACTGGGGTCCGAGGGCAGGTGTCCCCTTCGCCGGGGCTGGGGGCCAAGAGGGGCCGTACCCCAGCAGCAGCTACGGCTTTCCGAACAAAAGTTGAACATAGTTTTGTAGTTTGAAAATCTCCCAAGTTTTCAATGTTAGAAGTGAGCTCGAATATTGTTTTTCTTTTTAGTAGTTCATTTTTTTTACTGTACTTTTTCCCATCACCCTCATCCCCTCTTCTACCTCCACCCGGCCCCCCCCCACCCCGTGATCACCACACTCTTGTCTGTGCACGTGTCCCCTTGCTCGGCTGCCATTTCTTGAACACTGTGTGAAGCAAACCAGGCCACGACGTCTTCAGGTGCCGAAGGCTGGCTGCGCACCGCGGTTGCCGCGCTCCTCCACCCGGGCCTCCCCCATCTACTCCTCCCTAGTCTATGGGGCACCTCCTGCTTGTGGGACACTCAGGGAGGTGCTGGACATGCCACAGGGCACTGCCAGCTCTGCCCTCAAGGACCCCCTCCTCTGGTGGGGCAGGTCCCCTCCGTCTCGTAAAACTCACGCACAATACGCCATGTGGAGGAAGGAGGGACCCGGCGGCCGGGACACTTCATAAGGGAGATGGACTCCCCCTGGTGCGGGGTGGCCGGCAGGGAGCCTCTCACTCATCAGTTAATCAGGGCAACGAGGAATCCAGGGACCTGACCGGGAGCTCCCACCCTGACCCCGATGAAGCTCATCGTGTGGTCCTAGGTGGGCTCCCACCGCATCTCCCTCCCCCTGGGTGCAGGGGGCGGGGGTCGAAGGGAAGCCTCACAGGTCAGTAACTAGCCCGTCTCTGGACCTGCACACACCATCACAGGCTGGATACTGCCACCGAGTACGGAGCCCACGTGACCTACGGTCACGCCCACGGGGCTGCCGTGGACCAGCACAGGCTTGACCTCCCGGGCACTGAGGACGGCGAGGCTCTGAACCTCAGACCTGCTGCGGCGACTGGGAGCGGGCGGCGCCTCTCACCGAGGGCACCCGGATCCCCTTCTGACCTGCGCGGTGATCAGGCCCTTCCAGATAAAAAGGATGTGCTGATCAATGAAATCTATTAACGTCTGGAGCACATGATCAGGGTATTAATAATTAATTTTGCCAGGAGAATGTCATCTCCAACCCGGGGACTGATCTACAATGTTAAGTAGTTTCTTGAAGCAATTAAAATTAGATGAGAGATGGATCCAATTACACAACAAAGATTTCACCCGCGACCCGACACGCCACGCAGTGTGTGTTCTTCTAGGAGCCGCGGACTTTGAAGGATAGAGGGACTCGGGCGCCCTGCCAGTCCTGGTCTGCACTCAGCTCAGGGCGGCTCCCCTTCACCGGCCAGAAATCACGGGGTGTCGGCGGTGATTTGTCTAGTGGGCGGGGGGAGCAGGGCGCCGGCTTTTCTGACGGGAGCTGAAGATTCATGAATCTCGAGTGGCGTGTGGTGCAGGTTGGAAGGCCCGTAATTTCGGGCCTTCTGCCAGGGCCGGGAGGAAAGCCGCAGATGAGCTCGGAGTGATGGCCCAGGCAGAGCTCCCTGCGGCTTGCGGCTCCGGCCTCCTCCTCCTCCGAGGCGGCCGGAGTGAAAGGTAGCCGGTGCTGCAGGAACCCAGACCTTGCCCAGGAATCAGACCCATAAATCCTGGGCGGCCATGCGGTGAGGCAGGACCTGGTCGCTGAGCCAGGAGATGAACCACCGAGAATTCCACAGCAATATCTTCACACATTGCTTCTCAGAGCAAAATTCCCGTAGCCTCCAACCCTCCAAACAACGCCGGCGCCGACAGTCATGCCCAAGACGCCGGCATACAGAGCGTCAGGCCTGCATCACTCTCTCCGTCCTCCCGGACACGTCTGGTTTCTGACAGGCTGCACCGGGGCTCCCTCAGGTCACGGTCGGTGCCAGCACTTGGCCAAATTTAAACTCTGCCGGCCCCCGAGGGCCTCAGCTCAGCTCTGCCCCCAGCAGGCTGGTGCACCTCCTGTGAGAAGGGGCAGGGCGAGGCCGGGGTGTGCAGGCCCCCGGGTCCAAGGCCACCCTCGGGCGCTCACTGCAGACCCAGCAGGAGGGGCGACCACACCCACCCCCTCGACCCGGTGCAGGCAGGGCACGTGGTGAGTTCACCGAGGACCGGGGACTGAGCACACAATGTCACCTACTGAGCTGCGGTGGGGGTGGGGCTCTGGAAATGGTAGAGGGTTCGAAGTGAGCCTTAAAGGGTGAGGGAGACAGGACCGCACGCGGCCTGAGGCTGGGAACTCAGAGGGTTCAAGTCGCTGCGGCGTAGATAATGGAAGAGCCAGGTGTGGCTCACCTGTGAAACCCTGGCACCCACCCAGCCTCCCAGGCTTCTCGAAGGCTCCGGGGGAACAAAAAGAAGGCCTGAGCCCTGGTCTTCACTAAGGACGGCCCAGCATGGCCTCGGGCAGGGGCCAGATCCCCAAACAGACTTGAATGTGGCTGCGAATTTGGACTTGACTCTCAAGGCCAGGATGGGGGGCGAGGATGATTTGAAGTGGGAAGGACCTGACCACCTTTGACTTCCCTGTGTGGGCTCTGCTTCAAATTCCACCCCCAGAAGCAAGGGACAGCCTGTGCCCCTCCCCTTTCTCCTTTGGTTAACGACCTCTCCCATCACTAAGTACGAGGTCTGTCCAGGAGGTGTGCAGCCATGTGCTATGAAACGCTGTACATGGACAGTGACGCCTCCATCCCCTTCAAAGTGGGCACCCTGGGACCTCACACGGTTCCAGTCGCCATCAGCTGGCCTGTTGTACTTTCCTGAATCTCACCGATGGTCTGAAGTCTCTTCCCTCTCAAAGGTGATTTTAGTTTTGGGAAAAGCCAGAAGTCACAGGGCGCCAAATCTGGCCTGTAGTGGGGCTGAGTCACTTGGGTGATTAGATGTTTCCCCCAAAACCCGTGCACGAGACATGATGCATAGGCAGGTGCATTGTCGTGATGAAGCTGCCGGTCACCACTTCCCCCAGCCGCAGCCTTCTGAGTCACCCGCACGGTTTCTGCAGAGAAATGCTCAAACTTGGCACAAAATCTGGTGCAGATTCCCTGCTTCACTCTCTCAGTCATTGTGAATGTGACGGCCACACAGTCCACGTGCTCACTCAGGGGCATCTCCCATCCCCACTGACCAGTGCAGTGAAGTTGTCACTGTTCACGCATGTGCATTCCAGTCCACTCGCCTGGGCTGCCTAGTTACATGGACGTCATACAAACCATTCTCTTTATATCGACAATGGCTGGGCTGTTCCCCAGCAGAGCTCATCCCACATCTGCAGTAGAAGCACATTTTTCCAGGGCTCACAGCGGTGAGACAGAGTGAAGGAGGCGGGGCCTGGGACCGGGCAGCCAGCGCTTTCCCTGGTTGGCTGCGCGTCCTCTGACGTGGGAAGGGTGCTGAGGCTTCGTGGACCTACGAGCTCTTCTGTATCTCGGGGGCCGTGCCCTCTTCTCCGCACGAGTGCGCAGTAGAGGTCACCGGACACACGTTTGCAGAGCACATGTTAATTATTGTTGTTCGGACTCACATTAGACCCTAAGAACGCAGGGAGTCTTTGCTTTAGTCGCCGATATTTAAGAGACATGAGGAGTTATGCCTGACAGAGTAGGTGGTCAATACACAGGTGGTATATAAGTGAAAGGATGCACTTAACATCTTTTGTGGACCTACCACGGGCTTTTCCTGCACCTGTTTCTTATTTAACCTCCGTAGCAGCCCTGCAGGCAGGAATCAGGATCGTCTACAAAGCTGCAGACTGGGGAATTCGGCCGTCGGGGGCTGCGGAACTCGGCCAAGGCCGACCCTCTAGAAACCAACACAGCTGGCATTTAGCTCCTGTCCTCAGGCTCCAAACACAGTGCCCCCTCCCCCCTGGTGTCATTCATCTGCCATCGATGACAGAGTGGGCTCTGACTCCCTGGGACCTGCTGTGGCAGTGACGTCCCCAGCGTCCTGTCCTCGGCAGCCCCCCCTGCTCCCACAGACTGTGAGTCCTGGCTTCTCTCACGGGGTCAGTCCCCCTCGAGTGTGGCCCGCCTCTCTCCCTGCTGCCTTCTGCTTTCTCAGCCGTCTCTGCCACAGAGCCCTGTCCTCTCACGATGTGTCCCAGTGGGTCAGCTTCGGTTCGGTCCTTTTTTCCTCTGGCCGTGTTTCAGGCTGCACAGGCTCTGGGACCCGCTCGTCTGCCTCCCTGATGGCCCAGGGCACCCGCAGGGCTCTCCTCCTCCAGCAGGGCACCCGCAGGGCTCTCCTCCACCATC